TACGCGTATATATATATATACATATATATACCTTTTAAAAGATTTATAATTTTTTTATTCCCCTTTATTTCCGTCCGGTGATAACCTGCACTCTCGTTACAGTTAGTTCGCTGTAATAAACTGAATTACATGGCTCGGCATAATTTCAGTTTCCTCTCCTTTCCCCTTTTCTCCCGTATTTACTTATGATTTTGTGAGATCTGTATGCATTTGGCGTGGCTTACTGCTTTTTTATTATTTTTAACTTTTATTTCTTCCAAAAAGCGAAAAAAAAAAGAGGGAAAAAAAAAAAAAAGAAACCCCCACAAAGCCACGCTGTTTTAGCCCGGAATCTGTCTTTACGGAGACTAACGTGATCTGGCGCAGCTCAGGGGTACATTGTAAATGTAGGTCTTGATAACCCCTCACTCACCCTGTCCCCAGCAAGTACTCTGTCTCAGAGCAGTGAGGGCGATGGAGTCTAGTCTGGCTTAGTTATTGTTGGCATTTAAAGCGTATTTTAACATTAATACTAAAAGAATGACGTTTTGATCCGATTTTTTTTTTCTTCCAAATGTTTTTAAAGTAGCACTTTTGTAGAGGGTAGGGCCACGAATGTAATTTAAAAAAAGAAAAAAAAAAAGAAAAAAAGACTCTCTAAGTAAGTTCTCATACCATTTAAGGTATATTTTTGTGTTATAGACCCATGCAGATGCAAAAGTCCAAGTGCTGGACAATCAAAACGTAAGCTTGTCATTGTTTAATGCATACTTAAACAATTTTATTTTTGTCTTGAAATTATTAATAATGTGATTTTCTGTCCGCTTCCCTATCCAGGTGTCGAATGGATGTGTGAGTAAAATTTTGGGCAGGTATTACGAAACTGGCTCCATCAGACCCAGGGCAATCGGAGGTAGTAAACCGAGAGTAGCGACTCCAGAAGTTGTAAGCAAAATAGCGCAGTATAAACGAGAGTGCCCCTCCATCTTTGCGTGGGAGATTCGAGACAGATTACTATCAGAGGGGGTCTGTACCAACGATAATATACCCAGTGTAAGTTCATGAAAAAAACCTTCCTGTGTGCTGTGTACAATGCTGGGTAGCCGTAGCGAGCCTCTGCTTCCTTTGTTTTGATATCAGAGGAGAGGAGAGCAGGTTCACATCATTTGCATGTGGCAGGGTCAGACGCGTTTTTTTCATACAGAATCTGACAAATGCCTTTAAGGAGGGAAAAAAAAAATAATAAAAAATATGCGGGTCACCCCTGCGCCTAGCGCCTCAGGACTGCGCGCATCAGTCGAAGCCATCACTCTGGTTCTGCAGGGTTGGGTTTGGGGCTTTTTTTTTTTTTTCTTTCTTTCTTTTTTATTTTTTTTTTTCCCCGTGGTTTGTTTGTTTGTTTGCACCACACCACCAGCAGTAAGCGAGTCGGGGCGGTCGCGACACGGCGGGACGCGCTCGGGGAGCCCCTGACTTGCGCCCAGGTCGAGCCGCCCGCTGCGCGGGGGGACGCGGGGGTTGCGCGGGTGCCTGGCGGGGAGCGCGCTACCGCACTACCATTGCCTTTCCTGTCCTTTGCCTTCCAGGTGTCGTCGATAAACAGAGTCCTACGCAACCTGGCTAGCGAAAAGCAACAGATGGGTGCCGACGGGATGTACGACAAGCTGAGGATGCTGAACGGGCAGA